ACAAGAGATCCTGGATAAATGCCAGCCATTGAGCCAATGTAGAAATTAAATTTAGAAAGAGTTTACAGTTATACTCTCAGTTACTGAGATCAGGTAAAGTAGAAATATAAAGCTGGAAACACTCTCATGTAATGGTGGAGAAAATGTGTGCCCTCAAAATGATACAGAACCTCTCCTCATGTTCAGCTCTGAAATCAAGCTGGACCTTCAGAAAGAAGGAGAAAGAAATGAACAGCACTTTTTGGGAGCAGTCTGGGTGTTCCTGCGCACAACTGTTCTTGCCAGAGGGAGAAGCCAAAAAACCAAAGTATTGCGAGAATGACTCTTCTTGTGGTAGCTCTGGCCTCCTAGGAATTAGGAAGCACCATAAATCTCAGGAGAGAGACTGTGCAAAAAATTCCCAGCCCACATTTCAGACTCCAGAGGTTCAGATGCATTTTGTTACATTGAAGGAAAACAAGCAGGCTTTTTGGGCACACCTCTCAGCCAGGCTCAAACTCTACATCTTCCTGGGTTGTCCATCATTCGAGCTACCAAGAATGTTACCTAGTTCACAGTTTGCAACTATTTTTTAACAGGCTCATCTGCATTGTTAAAAAATGCCTATATTTTGGCAGATAAGCCAGTCAACTCTGGAAATAGTGCTGGTCTCTTAGACTTTCTTTTTGGAAAGTGTCTTAAGATTTATGGTGGGAATTACTCATAACAGCTGCATTCTTTCCACTGGGTTTAGACCACCATTTGGTCTAATAACTCCTAATTGTGTGTCTATCCTAGTCTAAGCTTCTTCATGAAAAAAAATAGGAGGGAAGACTTTTGAAAATCCCTTACAGCAATACCCGGTGATTTCTGTCAACAGTAAACACTATTTTGAAACTCAAGAAGGTCAGCTGATGAGGGGCAAATAAACAACATTTCAGTGAATGTGTATTTCTTCAGAGAATTTTTCATTAACCTCACATAAATGCTGTCCTGATCAAAATTAATGTAAAATGTTTTAGTTTCGTTGTGTTCCCAAAGTATTTTTAGCATAAAAGGCAAAATTCCTGTCAACTTTTACAGTCATGGTATTTTCTTGAAAGAAGTACCTCTCAAAGTGATTTTCTCCAAACTTCACCAAGCACAACATGGGTACCTTGAAGACATTGCTCATTTAAAAATCATAAGAGGTCTAATTATATTTCCAAAATAAGTAGTTTCCAATCCAGCAAGGATAATGTGGCCATGAAAAGGATGTCCAAATCCACCAATTTACATTGGTTTGGTTTGGCATAACTTTCAAAGTTCTGGGAGCAAAAAGAGGATGCACGTGAATCACTGTGATTCAGGTTCAGTTCCCAGGACTTAGGGTTTGCCATTCTGTGAGCCATTTAGGGGAAAGCTGATTAACTTCAAGACTGTACCTATAAAATTTATAACTGCTGAAATTCATTGATATGTTCCAGATTATTTTGCAAAATGTAATACCCTCCTTTTTGATATGTACTTTGTCATTTTCACTCTACTTATGTAATTTAAAAAGTATGAGAGCAGGGGACCATGAGCCATTCAAAGCAGGAGCCACTAACGTCAGAAATTGTTATCTTTTGCAAGATATATGGTGCTGATATCTCTGAATCTAAAGGGCTTGGAAGTTGTGTCAAGTTAAATTCAAATTGCATCTAATGCATTTTGCTTTACTCCTTCTTACTTTCTGGTTTCCATCTTAAGCCACAAAGCAATTTCTCTACTGTGACTTAGTTCTACAACCACAGTGGTCGCACTGGTCTGAGTTACCCTCCCTGTCTCCATCCCCAGCCTGCCCTCCTTTTATTCCAAAAGAAAATTGCATTATTAATTTAGGATGAGTCTGCTTTGTTTGAACAGTATAGTGCTTTCCAATTTCTCATACGTAATATATCCAACCCATACTGCTCTTTCAAATGTTTTTGATTACTGAACTTAAAAAAAATTCTACTGAAATTTATAAAAGATCAAAGGGGTACTTCCTATGTTGTAACTTTAAATTTCTAGAAGAGAAAAAAGTCTTTAGATACTGGGGAATTTCAGTAATGGAAATTCAGCTTACAACTCTAGACAACATATGCATTTCAATAACATAAAAAATAATACTAGAAAAGAAAGAATTCTGCTTCAAAATAGAAATGCACTTGATTTTATACATCGAACGAGGTATGCTTATTCAAATGAGGCTTAAGTAAGGTCCTTTATTGCAATGCAGTGTTGTTGGAATTCAAATAATTTTGTTTACTGTTGACCTTTGATAAAGATCCAACTAATTAGCAAAACAAAAATTAATTTAAAAAATACATGGTAAGTCTTGTCACTTTTTATTGTAGTAGTTGTTAATCGACATTTCATCTTTAATCATTGTTTTAAACAGGGCTAATTTGACTGATTTTTTTAAAAAAACATATATTAAGATTTCTCATTTGGGGAATGTAGACCTGTGTGTTCCATCAATGTTTCTGTTTTCCAAGATATTCTTTTTCTCAACTCCCTTCAGAGCAACTGAAAACTCACAGAAAAAAATCAAGACCACTTTCATTTGGTGGAACTTTGTGATGGCAAACAAGATGACATTATTCAATATTCGTGGTTCTGAATGACCTTTGACTATTTCTAAAGCAAAAACTATCACCAAAGACCCCAAATTTGTCATCAGTAAACATTTTTCTATAGACAATATGGAGCCACTGATGATCATTTTAGAAAAGAATTTCAAACTATTCTCCCTAATGGTGACACGTTCAGAAAAATTACACATACCCCCAAGAGGGAAAACCTTGAAAGGGACACACTTACGTGGATGAGTAAATTTTAATATTTCAAAAATCTATAACCCTATTTAAAATTATATAGTTAAAGCCAAGTACCAAACACTATCTAATGACAAAGCAAAAAAGAAAATTGTTGATAAATTATAAAGTTCTGAGCACATGTGCATAAATTGAAAACCAACATGGTCCAATACTGAAACTAAAAACCAAATGTTAGGAAAGTTTTAATTAAGAGGACTGTCATATTTAAGTTGTCAAATGCATATTGTACTTAAAAACAAACTGGAGTGCCTTTGATTAATGGAGTTAATTTGTGCATCAGGAAAAAAGAATGCATTTGATTTTTATAAATGTATAAATGTATAAATTTATAGTTATGTCACCACATAGTAGTAGGTGTCCAACCTCACCTCAATTTGTCACAAGTTCATAGATTCATAGCTCTCAGGAAGGGACAGAGGTGATTCTAGAACTACAAAACTCACACCAATTAATACATTTGTTAATGGCGATTCCATTTTATTGACATTATGTACAACTTATTATGTGGAAGAGTAAACACCATAGTGAGGAGGGATAGATGGGGCATAGAGGGTTTTTAAGACAGTGAAAATACTGTATATGATACTATAATTATGGATACATGTCATTATATTTGTCCAAACCCACAGAATATACAACAGCAAAACAGAACCCTAATGTATATATGATGGACTATGGATGTGTCAGTGTAGTTTCATCACTTTTAACAAATGTACCACTCTGGTGGGGGATGTGTTGACCATGGGGGAAGGCTATGTATGTATAGGAGTAACAGGTATATGGGAAATCTTTGTACCTTTCCTTCAGTTTTGATGTGAACTTCAAACTGCTCTAAAAAAAAATGTCTTAAAAATTACTGAATGATAGCTTTCAAGTATGCCACTAATATTAGTATTACACATTATGTTACTCTGCCCTAACCTACTGATAATATATTTTGTGCAACAGCAGAAATGTTCCTACTGTAAAGTATGTAAAAACTGAGATGGTAAAGGAGCTTATTTCATGTCAGTGAAGGGTTTACAAGGACTTTATCCTGTTATGCAATGACGATAATTTCTACCAATTGACTTAATACTTACTATTGTGAATTTCAATGTTTAACCCTGGTGCTACACCACCTCCCTAGAGAAACTGCTGAGATACTGACCTCTACATTAGCTGGTACTAGGCCTCTCTGAGGGCCTAGACATATCGAGGAATATGCAATCCCAACATTAAAATTATGTTATCAACATTTCTTATTGACAATAATAGTGTTTTAAGTGTTTCTCTTTTCACTTTCCTGTTTCTTCATCTTTTTGATAGCTGGGTCATGGAAATAACCACATGCTATAAATAAAAATATGGAAAACAAGTGGTTGATTATCCAAACCCACTGCCAGGATAAGTTATTTTGAATTACAGATGACTAGTTTTAAAATAATCTGAAACTAATGTCACCATCTTGTTAAGGGTTTCTTTCTGTTTTGTCCTCCACAATGAAGCACCCCATTACCTGCAGTACACTATGGGTTATCAAACTAGTTCTTCGTCTGAAGTAGTATTTTCTTTCTGTAGTCATATAATCAGAACAATACATGTTATGCTACAGTTTCTTGATTACAGGAAAATGAGAGTGAAACAATGGAAATGGAATGGAATCCCTAGGAATAGAATAAGATAGAATGGAGCAGAATAAGAGTAAAGAGGGGGATGGAGAGGGTAGAAGAGAAGAGAGAGGAAGAGAGTAAAGGAGAGAGAAGAAGGAAGGAAGGAAGGAAGGAAGGAAGGAAGGGAGACTTCACAAGTACCTTGGGTTACTTTGACGTTCCAAAAGGGGGCAATGATTCGCATATACATGAAGGTCGCCCCCCACCCCACCCCAGCTTCATTCTTGTCTTTTCCTTGGGAATAAGTCTTAACTATACTGTGAAATCCTGTGCTACCTACTGCTCTTTTATGGTTCAACTACACTCAGATCTGTTAATGATTAGCTGTCACTGAACTTCATGATTAGTTTATTTGGATTAAAATATTGATGATTGCCTGGTTTAGGACATAGAAATTTGTTTTCTCTGTGAGGAAGAGATGGTGGTGATTTACTGCTTCCTTCTTTCCCATAATTATTAGTTTGTTTTTCTTCTACCATTTCAATTCTTGTATGAGTGAATATAAGACATGCCTGTTTGTTTTCAGGTCTAGATGTTGATGGAATATACCGAGTCAGTGGCAATCTGGCAACAATACAGAAGTTAAGATTTATTGTCAACCAAGGTAAGTGATTTCTTCACTTCAGAACTTTTTACAAGCAGTTTCTTCTCTAATAATATTTCAGACTCTCTGCTGTATGTATTATGAATAAATAATGATAAAAGCTTTGAAGGGAGAAAGAGAAAGTTGAAGAAATTAAACAATTATCTCTAGAGAAGTGAAAGATAGACAGTTTACTTGGAGATGAATAGAACAAAGAGAGGGACCAACTATTAGTTTGTGTGAAATAAAGAACAAGTGGGAAATGTGGCAAATTAAAGTGAAGAAGATAATAATAAAAGAGTAAAAGAAAAGTGTAACCTAACTTTGAAAAATGTACCTGGCATATTAATACACACTTAATAAATGTTGATAAATGAGTGGTGGAAAATGTAGTAATCAAAATCACAGATGTTAGAAAACCATATAACAGGTAAATAAAAGAATTAAAAATTAGGAAATACACATATCATCAAAGAATTGCAAACTAAAATAACAATGAAATACTACTATAAGCCTATTGGAAAATTTAAAATTTCTAAAAATTTTAAGCACTAAATACCAGCATTTTAATGCTAAAATTTAAAACACTGACACCACCAAATGCTGGCAAAGATGTGGAGCAACAGGAACTCTCATTCATGCTGGTAGAAATGGAAGATAGTACGGCTAATTCGGAAAATAGCCTGGCAGTTTCTTATGAAAATAAGCATTCTTACCATATTATCCAGCAATTATGCTCCTTGGCATTTATCCAAGTGAGTTCAAAACTTATGTCTCTACAAAAAAATGGCACACAGATATTTCCAGCAGCTTTATTCATAATTGGTAAAATTTGAAAGCAACCAAGACGTCCTTCAATTGGTGAATGGAAAAACGAACCATGATACATCCATATAATGGAATCTTATTCAGTAATAAAAAGAAATGAGCTATCATATCAAAAAAAGACTTGGAGGAAACTTAAATGCATATTGCTAAGTGAAAGAAGCCACTCTGAAAGGGCTACATACTGTATTGTCTCAACTACAGAGCATTCTGGAGAAGGTAAAACTATGGAGACAGTAAAAGATCAGAGGGGAGAGAAGGATGAATAAGTGAGCACAGGGGATTTTTAGGGCCATGAAACTACTCTGTTTGATATTGTAATAGTGGACACATATCATACATTTGTCAAAATCTACATAATATACAACACTAAGAGTGAATTGTAATATAAACTATGGAATTTAGTTAACAATAATGCACAAATACTGGCTCACCAATTGTAATGAACGTACCACACTAATGCAAGCTGCTACTAACGGGAAATTGTAGGGGGATGGACAGGGTTAAGGCCAGTATCTGGGAACTCTGTACTTTCTGTTCAGTTTTTCTGTAAACCTAAAACTTCCTTTAGAAAGGCATGGAATTTAAAAAAATTAGGAAATATTGAAGGAAAAAAAAGGAAGGCTAAAACATCTTTAGATAGTGTTGCAGATAGCTTATAGGTTTAGAATTAGATATGTGGCATAAAATCCAGGCACTCCTTCCTTGTGCCCTTGGCATTTTATATTCTTGGTTTATATACCTCCCTGTACTCGGTTTCTTATCGGTAAAAACTGGAAGGAAATATCTTGGAAACATTTGTGAGAATAAAATGAGATAGTATGTGGTAATCCTTTAGTAATACAACAGATTCATGTTAGTCGTTTAATACATGTAAGATTCCCTTTCATTTAAAAACAGTCAGTAATGTCTTCTTGCCTTCAGGAGAATTTACACAAAGTCTTCATAATCTGGCTTTCCAATTAAATTCTAGCCAGTTGCAGGTCCTCTGAATTTATTTCAGAATGCATTCCTAACTGCGCTTCCATATTTGCATTCTGTTGTATTTCTTAATGCCTTTGCATACTCTCATCCATCTATTTTCAATACCCTCCTATCTTTTCCTTCCCATGCCACATACACAAGTTTCCTGCCTGGTCAGATTTGTCCTTATACTAAAGGCCCGGATTAAAAGTAATTTTCTACAGGAAGCCTGCAACGTTCCTTCAGTCAGATTCTTCCTCTGTGTGCCCATTGTGCTGGGTAGTTAAATACACTATTAATACAGGCATATCTAACTTCTAAAAGTCCAGCTATTATAAGACCCTGAGATTTAAAGCCATCTTTTAGAGAGAATTTTGCCAAATCTACTCAGTGATTATATTTCAGAAACATTAAAATGTGAAAGTCTTGGAATAAAAAAAGAGGACATTAGTTGAAATATCTGTTTCCTCCACAAATCTTCATACACCTAAAAAGGTAGAACTTAAATCATCGTTGCATCTCCCCTCACTAACCAGTTGTATGTAGCCCTAGAACTTCCATACAGGGAGCTCTTAATTAATGTTTGTTGAGTGGTGTGTATCTGTCTGTGTGCGTGTGTGTGTGTGTGTGTGTGTGTGTGCGTGCGTGCGTGCGTGTGTGTTGCAAAGGGGAGAAGTATCGATACTGAGAATCACTGACCCCTCCAGCAGTTCACTTTGGGCTGAACTATCCTTTTACGTCTTAACTGCAGTACTTTATGCCATGGCCACATGATTCGTATTTCTAAGAATCTCTGTAACCGATAATCTGTTTACTCTGTTAGCTCACTAATATGAAACTCTTTCACAGTTACTCTCCTTTCTGGACAAAAAAAAACAGAACTGGACTTTACCTCATGACTTCACATTGGCCCCACTGGACTGAACCAGAGTACCCTCTCTGTGGTTAAAAGATAGAATAGCCCCAACTCTTTATGACTATTCCTGTCTGTAACCAGCTAAAATCATTCTTGCAATATATTTCATACTGAAACCATATCCTGATTTGGATTCTAGACAGCTGGGCAACACATTTCTTCTACAAAGAAGAAATCTCAAAACAGAAGCCATGCTAGAAACAAATACTAGTTGCATTTCCTGCCTTTAAAAAAATTATGCTCAGCAGTTTGAAAAGGCAAAAAAGAAATCTGCAATGAAAATATGAAATCTGTCCATCTCATCTTTTGCAATCCAAACTTCAGCGTCCTCTGGGACTGTGTAACTGCTCATGTTTCCCTAAGAGTTGACAATGTAAAGCTGGACAGAGGCCTGGGTTGGTATCTGGTAGCACAGAATTGTCAGTAAACTGTCTCCCTGGTTTATAGCACTGTCAGAATGCAACACATTCAACACAAATTATGCTATATTAGGACCTTTGATACTGGTGATTTTGGCCAAGCTATGTTGTGGAGTTTTTTGAATTAGATGATAAAAGATATGCATATAGCAGCCTCTCTCAAATTTTACTAATCAGATTATCCTGTGAATGAAATTTCAGGAATGAACTCATACCTTGGTACTAACACCATACCTTCCCCTGCTTCCACATGTGGAGCAGAGCTGCCCTAGAAGAGAGTTAGTGCTGGATGCAAAGAGGTTGAATGTGCACACTGTGGCCTCCCCTCTGTGTGTGTGTGTGTGTGTGTGTGTGTGTATGTACGCAATGAAATAAAGTAGCAGTAGAGTGGTAATTCCATGAAAAACATAGAGGTATGTGAATGCAATATATTCTTTTTTTTTTTTTTTTTGTATTCGAAGATGAAGCAGAGATGATTTGGGCATACCCTCTTTGTAGTAACACCTTTTATCTCCTCCATATTCACATTTCACAATGTTTCCTTTTTAGAAGGTTCTGAATGTACATTTTAAAAATGAACAAGCCCTACCCACTATTAGACTAGACAAATGAAAACTGATTTTGGGGATTTTCAAGAACAGTTTAATTGCAATTTATGTATTTCACTAACTTTCTTGAATGCTATAATCATCAGCAATTCTAAATACACCAGTTGAATGATTCAATTTGTTTTGGTTTTCTGTTTGACTCACTAAATCAGTAGAAATTGGATACCCTTATTATACTTCCAGATCAGATGGCATACAAGTTAAATTCAAAGTGATCACTTTTGAAAGCATTTCCTAATTACAACTAGTAATGTTGATGATAATAGTAATTATTATTAAAAAAGCAACTAACATATTTTCATAATTTATTATGTGCCAGGCACTGTATTAAGTGCCTAACTTATATCATTTAACTTAGTCATTTCTATCAGTCCATAGAATGTGTGCTATTATTGTTCCCATTTTAAAGCTGAGGAACCTGAGGCTCAGAAACATTAAATAATGTCCCAAGGTTATAAAGCAGTAGGTGAGGGAGCTAGGACTGGATCCCAGGTCTCTTGTCTCAGAGCCTCTGCTGCAGACTGCTGCCATGATGTGGCATTTCCCACGCGTTAATTGTTGATTCCCGCCTTACAAAAGTGGAGAGCAGTCTTTTCGTGTTTTATGAGCTCATTCGTGACTTTCTGTTTTCTGGTTTTTGTGAGTGACAAATACTGTCACAGGAGTTTGGCTAAAACTTTTCAGGAAAGAAAAATGCCTGGGAAAACACCCAACACCTTAGTTAGGAAGAAGCCGGCACTGCCATTCTCCACAGGGCTTTATGTATCTATGTTCGGACCAAGGAGCTACTTCAGCACAATATTCTGTTGCAACCTGCAGGAAAGGCATCAAGAATTCTAGCCTTACTGGGCTGTTGATGCATTAGTGAGCAGTGCTTTGCCTTGTTTGTTGTATTTGGTGACAGCCTTCAGTGACATTTTGCTGATGCCAATCTTCCATTCTGTGAGGGCGTCCCCCAAAGAAAACTGATCTATAACTTTAGATGTCAACTTGTCATCAGCCTGTGACACTGTGTTGATTCTCTGGAATGATCTGTGACCCGACGGTTTTCTTGCGTGGGGGTACTTTTACAAAGGGCAGACTTTAGCACTGAGGAAGCTGCGTAACTGTCTTGAGCACTTTTGACAGTGGGCCTTAAAAGTTGAACCAGTCTGAATTCCCCCCTCCTTCTGACATCAAAACTGTGGTCTGGGCAGCCCATCTAGCTTATTGCCCAAACTCCAAATTTGGTTCAGACTCTCTTTGGTATTAGTTAGCTGTTCTTTTTCACCTTTTAAAAAAGGGGACAAG